TGTCTTACCATTGATTTGGTGAGCAACCCTATCTTTGGATGTAAACGGGACGGGCGTGGGTCATCGTATAACCATGATTAGCAACATTGCGAAGTATCTTAGCATTTTGAGGGACCAAGATCATTTTGTAAGGCAACTTTGAAAAGCGTCATCGAGGGACTATGATCTTATATTTGTTTGTTTTGCCAAGATACTTCGCATGCGTAATATGGGCATTTTTGTATAAGGCAACCAAGTGGAGAAACCCTAAGGGTGTTTTTGTGCAAGTGTGTTATTTTCATGCTTTGATTTTGTCTTGGATATAGGGTTTTCTATTTGATTTGTTTTTATCTTTCCAGACAAACCCTAATTACTAACATGGCATGTAAAGCGGTAAATTGTGTAATGTAAAGGTTACTAAGCTATTACAACAATTTATGGGAGGGGGGAATACAAATTTGAATGGGGATTTGCAAGAATGTAAATCTAAATAAGCTATTACAACCAAATCGAATTTGTACGAATATTGGAATAAATAAATACAATATTTAAATATGCAATATTATGTACATTCAAGAAAATATTTTGTTTTATTTTTTATGTGAAAAGGAATTTAACCTAGTCCTAAAAATATAAGGAAAAGAAATTAATTCTTAAAAAAGGGGTTAACCCTAATTTCTAGTTTGAAAGAAAATAAGGTTCTTATGTATTATTTTTGTATTTAAAATAATAAATAATATTTTATAAAATATTTAGTTTTTATATATGCCAAAATAAATATTTACAAGTATGGAATGAAGAGGAAATAAAACAAATTAAACTAAACCTATTTTATTTATGTTTACAAGTTTATTTAAGAAAAATAATTAATATATAGTTTAATAAAAATATTTTTTAATGTGAAAATAAAATAAAATATACAAAATGCAAAATTATCATATTTTATATTTTTCAAGATTTTGATATATTTAAGAAAATATTTGATAAAACAAAAAAAGTAAAATAAAACAAATAAATAAAAGTATGGGCCAAGGGTGCTGTAAGGAGACATGGAGTAATATGTTAGTAAAAACGCTCAGGCTCAAAGAAACAAGCCCATCCTGCAAAAACAGCAAAAAAATGGAAATGGAAAAATGTGAAAAAACAAAAGGTAGCGCCAAGGTTCGAACCCATGACCTGGGCCTCACCAGCGCGCTACCTTGCCACTAGGGAGGCTATACATCCGTTGATTTATGTGAAACAAAAACAACATAACACAAACAAGGTCCTTGCCCTGTACTTCATCTTCTTCCCCAAGCTGGCCAGAAGCTCTGTAACTTTCTCATCTCTCAATAAAAATGGAAACTGATAACATGAATGTTGTAGCATTTTGTCTCACGATTCTAACCGTGTAAATTATGTAAGCTAACAATCAAAGATCAAAATGAATTTTAAAAATTTAAACCTAATTTTTCCAGGAACTTCAAGTTCAAAATTCTCTCAACTCAAGCCAAATAAATGCAAGATATATATATATATATATATATATATATATATATATATATATATATATATATATATATATATATATATATATATATATATATATATATATATATATATATATATATGTACAACTTCGTAGCAATGAGGTCTACATTGTTTATTCACAAATCGTGGCTAATGGATGCCTGTATGAAAAGATAGAAGTTAAGATTTTTACCTCTTTCAGTTGAAATCGTGAATTGAGTTTGAGGGAGATTTATGAAGGCCTGATGATTGCTTGAGCTTGCTTGAACCTCCCTGAGAGTGTTCTAACCCTTGCCTTACTTTGGAAGTGCCTGGAACTCTCTATCCAAGTCAACCTGCAAGCTTTAAAAACAAAAATGGCAGATGAAGAAGGAGGTGTTCCAGTGCAAGGATGATGGTCTTGATCTCTTAGATAGGAAGTAGGTAAAGTGTTTTGATGGTTAAAACTTGAAACACACGAGCCAAATGATGGATTGATATGCTTATGCAAAAACTGCAAGTTTTGACAGTTTTTTGGTGATATGGTGTGTTTGAATGTTTCGGGCCTCTTTCAATCGTTTTTCTATTTGTAATGTGTTTGTATATTTGTATAGAAAAAATTTCAAGTCAGCTCCCCAACAGATTTGTGAGCTCTAGCCTTTTTGCACACTTTCTTGCTTTTGAAGCAAAATGAAGAGACAAGTTTTCACATGCTTCTACTGGCTTGATTAGGGTTGGTATATGCTCTATACAAGTTTCCTTAGGCCTGGAGGATTTGTTTGTGTAGAGAGGATAGGTCCAAGGCTCAAGATTTGTAAAGTTGCAAAAGTGAAGCTTTTTCAAAATGACAATGGTCACTTTATGCCATTTATGGAATTACCACTTGGACAAAGGCTCTTGAGCTTGAATTAATGCTTTGTCAACTGAGTAAGCATTAAATTATGGAGTAAGAAACAAGTTTGGGATCTGTGAAGCATGGATTAGGCAGCATAGGTACTGATTTGAATTTTGTTCTTCATGAAATGGCTTGAATTCAAAGTGAGAAATTGCCAACTTCATCTCTTCGATTCTCCCTACTTAAAAATGATCTTGAGGAGTTATTAGATATTTTGGAAAGCTTGAAATGTTCTATATAACTCATCTTTGAAATGAATTTCAAGACTCCTCTTGGAACTAGGTGAAAAATTGCCATGAAGTTGGGTCCAAAACCTGCCTAAATTAGGGCAAAATTTCACTAAGTTATCTAGTTCATGAGCATGTATTCATAAAATTATATCTTGAGATCCGAGAATCTTTAGGGAAAAGTGTGTGAAGAAAAGTTGTAGATTTCATCGAGATCTACAACTTTCATGTTGGGAACTTTCTTTGAATCATCTTGTATCATGGTGAAAAAATGGCTTAAAGTTGAGAAAAAATAAGAAATTTTCTATACTTTGAAAAATTTCTAAGTTAAGAAAATTTCCAATTTTAAAACCTAATCTTTAATCCTTGATTTATTGATGAACAAGTTTCACATTTTGACATGTTTTGATGAATTGTGACCCCTGTCACTTGATTTTGACCAAAAAGTCAAAGTTTGACTTTTCAGTATACAGTTGACTTTTGATCAGTTGACTGCAAATTTCATCTGTCAATCCAATAAAAATGCAATGTTTTGAACCATGTCATTAGGTCAAGATGATGCAATTGAGCTCTTGGAATCGTGCTTCAAACCAATTGGTCATTTGCTAGGTCAAAAATCAGAAATTGCCGTTTCTCAATCAAAACCCTAATTTTTACCATTTTGCCCCTTTGATGATTTGATCAAATTTCTTGAGGAATTATGGTCCAAACTTGATCAAATGATACCTATGAGTCCAAAATGTTTGTGGGGATCAAAAATTATGAAGTTTGACTGTAAATTGGCCATGGTTGACTTTTTCTCCAATACAGCTGATTTTTAGGTCAACTATCCAATTGACTAATCAAAAATGTGACTCAAAGCTTGAAACTTGACATGAGTAATCTTACGGGTCTATGATGATACTTGAAATTCATATGAAGCATTGATAGTCCAAAAATATTTGTACAACCTCAAACCCTAATCTTGGGTGATCAGTGCATGATGAGATGTCTTGGGCTGGTCAAACCCTAATCCAGTCTTGAGTTAAAGAGATCTTCTGAGCAAATTCTAGATAAGTGAGAGGGAAAATTTTGGGGTACAACACAAAGGAATTGAGAAATTACATTCAAGACAAGTTCCTATTTATGTTACATAAGGAATTAAATTCTAGACCTATTGATATTAATTCCAAAGCTTCAAATCTTGTTCCCAATTCTGCCCAAAATTGTTGTAAATTCCAGCCCAATATCATGCTGCAAATCAGCCCATTTTCCAGCCTTGTTTCAACAAATAACAGTCCAATTTTTTGTGGTATTTTGCTGTCCAAGACAACAAGCAAAACAATCCTAATTCTGCCCAAAAATGTTGCAAATCAGTCCAAAAAAACAGCAACCCGCAATGGTCCAAAGGCTGCCAAAAAACTACAAAGAAACTGCTATAAATTGGCACAAACGAGTTTTCTACAGCCTGCTTCCCTACATCTTAACAGCCCAAAAATTGCATCAAAATGGATAAAGAAAAATTGTATGAAAAAGGAATCAAAACAGTTTGTCAAAACAATTCAATTGTTCTACTGTTTTCCCCCCTAAATACTTTGTTCTTTCTCTATAAAATCCATCTTCATGGACAGAAAAATTACACACACAGAAGAAAAACTCAAGGAGGGATAAAACAGAAAAGAGGGAAACTTGTTCAAGAGTCACAACAAAGAATCAAAGCAAGAATTGAGTATCAACGAAACAAAAAAGAGGGAAAATTACTGTTTTTGAAGCTCCATCAGAGAGACTCCAATAGGTGTTTTTCTTCCTCTCTATTAATTATGCACAACTCTTTCACATGTACATCCATGTATACTAGATTTATTTGCATAGTAATTTTCATGCTTGGATCACTGGTTTTTGCAACCTGTTATAATAAAGATAGAAAAAATGTTATATATGCTACAACTTATTAACACAAAAAATTATAACCTATTTTAACCAGAAAATATAACCAAATAAACCCATAAAGTAACCTTATCCAAAACCCCTACCTAAACAGCACTCACATCCACCTACAAAAAAATAAAAAACATTAAGAGAGATACAGAATAACAGAAAGATAAAATTCTTCACCACTCATAAAAACTGCAAACCCTTACCTTTCCAAGCATTTAAACAAAGTGTTTCTATTGAAGCTGTAATTATCACCAAACCGAATAAATTTTGTTGAAAACTTTGTACCAGAACCAGTGCTACCTTGCCCATTCACCCTCTCTGTGAACACCATATACTCCCTCCGTTAAACAACCCTTCTGCTACTTTACCATATCTCTCTGCCACATTCAAGCCGAAACCATCCATTCAACACAACCATACCCACATACCCATAGCTCCCTCTGTAAATACCTTTTTTAACCCACGTGAAACCCAACGAACCCAACACCATCATCTCAGTCGAAACCCACTATTTCGGATACAACAACCAGAACTATCACCATGCACATGTCCTGAGCTTTCTGATCTTCGAGAAATTCTGACACGGCGGTTGCTGAAGAAGATTGCAATATGAAGTTCAACGTTGCAAATCCCACCAATGGATGATAGAAGAAGCCTGAGAATGATAACAATATGAAACTTCGAGCATTTTGGGACAAGAGGATTTTACAAGAGGTCATTGGAGATGTCCTTGGGAACTCCTTGCTTTCATGGACACAAAAGGCGTAATGGAGAGCGCAGAGGAAAGTATGTTCGTGGGTGCATTGTTAGCCCATACCTCTCTATTCTGAATTTGGAAATTATGAAGGAGGGTGAGAAAAGGGAGAATGGCGAGGATGATGGTGGTGAATCGGTTTAGAGAGAGAGAAATGATTGTTTTTGTTTCAAATTTCTTTTGATTAATTTTTATTGAAGATAATAATAATAATTAATCTGAACATTTCCCTTTCATTGGTTTTATTGGAAACAACAACAATGATAATATGTCTGAATGTCCCTTCCCAATACTGCCAACCAGCAGTGGATTTCCCTTGTTTAGGGTTTCCCAAACTTTTCCTTGTTCTTTTCTAACCGGGTCAGCCCATTGGGTTTGTTGGCCCAATTCATTATCAATATTAACCTTTTATTTTAATTAGAACTTAGTTATAACAGATAGAAAACATAGTTCAGTTGACAAGGCATGTATGCTGCAACCCCATATTTTATTCTATAACAAATATTAGTTAGTTCATTTTATTTATAATTATCCCTTACCATAAAAATACAAAAAAATATATTATTAAATTAGTCTTTTACTTAATTTTTGTTATTTTACTTAATTGTTCAAATACATGCTAGTATAAATTAGTCTTTTATTTAATTTGTGTTGTTTATTTAAATACATGGTAGTATAATTTAATTTTTGTTATTTATTCAATTGTCATTAATTTTATTCTTGGTCATTTAATCTTTATATCTTTCGTCCGTTTAAATTCCAAGGGAAATTTAACTTTGATGACTTCATGTCATCAAATATATATTTTATACGATTGTGCGAATACCTTCATTCATTTTTTCTTTACTATTTTGTTAATCTTAAGTTAATTTTCCTAAAAAAGTCAATTTAAAACTCCCACCCTTTAAGTCAAAATTTCGACACTAGGTCGTTGTATCTTCAAAATCTCATTCACACCCATTTTGAACAAACAAACCATTTTAATCAAACAAACAATTTTAACCAAAAACAGATATTTCAAAAGGTTCCTACAGAGTACCGCAGATGCATTGGATGCTAATACCTTCTCATTGTATAACCAACCCCCGAACTCTAGTCTCTTTCAAAAAATGCATTGTATTTTCATTACTTTTAAGTATTACTTTATATTGCATATTTAAGGGTTTTATTTCGCTCTTTTCCCTTTTCCCTTGGAAATAATAAAGCGTGGTGGAGGCTCTTGCTTTTATGATTCAAGTTAATTAATAGCTCGATCTATGATTTACCCCGTTACATTTTTATCGCAACAGAATTGGTGACTCTGTTGGGGACAAATTAACCTCTTACTGATCCATCCCTAAGTGGGTTAAGCCTAATTTGTCGTATCTGTTAATATTATTTATTTGTTTGATTATATGTTATACATTATGGTTATTTGGGTGTTGGTGATACTTACAAAGGACAAGTCCTATACCCGGACTAAGTTACACTTAAGAATAGGATGGGCAATATAGTCATGTTAACTTTGAGGGAGTAATCCCGAAGAAGGAGGCATGAAATCCCCCACTCAGTGGAAGCCCCTTTGACTGTAGTATTCTCTTATCGAATAATCGAGAATACGTTATTGCTTTCGACCTGGGAGCCAGAAAAGCTGAGAATCGTAGAACCCTTAACCCATATTGGCCTCTTGGGTGTAGTGTGGAGACTATAACAGAGTAATCCGGAATTAGTTGTCACGCGATGCTACACTCAGACGAGTTTCTCTTGAGAATATTGCTAATTACCGAGTAATCGAGACGTTGGTATCATCCGAAGGAGGATCGTAGACTTTGGGAACCTTTAGAACCTTATTTTACAGGTGTGATTAAACCTTTAGTACATACCTTGGGGGTGGTCTTTACCTCTGACTCCATGCTCGTAGCATTGAACCTTTGAACCCCTATGTTTGTGAACTTATGTATAATTGTTGCATTATCATTCATTCATGCATCCATAAGCATTATTTAAACATGTCCTTCAAGGAACTTAAGAATGATTTTTGCAGACATCTCAGGTACTTTTACTATGGATTTTGGAAAAAGAAACACTCGGAGTTACAGTTTCAAGGATCCTGAGATTGAAGAGTTGAAGAGTTTGATTCCCAAGATTGAGAATCTCACAGATTTCCGAAAGAAATATGGATCTATTATTCCTCTTATGAAGTGCAAGATAAAAGAGGGTATCCTTACTACGTTGGTCCAGTTCTATGAATCATTGTATCGATGCTTCACTTTTCCTGATTACCAGTTGATGCCCACTTTGGAAGAGTATTCTTATATACTTGGTTTACCAATCACTGACTTTGTTCCTTTCTCCGGTTTAGAAGGGGAACCTAAGTCTCACGATATATCAATAGTTACCCACTTGAGGAAGTCTAAGATAGAAGAAAACATGACTACCAAGGGAGGAATCTGAGGTTTACCTGCACAGTTTTTGTTGAAGAAAGCTCGTTACATCGCCGATATAAAGGATATTGTCGCCATTGAAGTTGTCTTTGCTTTGTTGGCTTATGGGTTGTTCTTGTTCCCTAACATCGATAAGTTCGTGGATATCAATGCAATTGAAATATTTTTTATTAGAAACCCAGTCCCTATGCTTCTAGGAGATACCTTCCATTCCATCCATTTTCGGAATTCGTACCAAGGTGGAATGATTATCTGTTGTACACCATTGTTATACCAGTGGTATGTTTCCCATTTACATGTGTCTGATGTTTTTTGGTATCTCAAAAAGGAGCCACGATGGGCGCCAAAAATTATGGCTCTTACTCATTCCGACATAGATTGGTACAATCAAACTTATTATGATGTGAAGATCATTGATAGTTGTGGTGTTTTTCCCAACGTGCCTCTTCTTGGCATGAGGAGAGGAATTAACTATAATCCTGTTCTTGTGTGCCACTAGTTTGGATACCCAATGAAGGACAAGCCAAATAACATTCATCTGAGTAGTTTCTTTCTCCAAGAAGGAAAGTATCACAAAGAAGCTAAGGAGGAGATTGAAATGCCTTGGCACCATATCCATAGAAAGGGAAGAGACATGTTACGACAAAGGTGTTGTTTCTTTGGAGCCTTACCTTCAATGGGTTCATGTTAGGGCTTGTGTTCTCAAGATTCCTTATTATCCCGAGAAACCTTTATTCCCTGTTGCTATAAAGTCATCTACTGCCATTCCTATTAAGAACATGAAGGAGTATCAAGAAAATTTGGATAGAATGGAGTATGAAATAGATGCTTGGAAGGAAAAATATAGTATGTCAGAATACGAAAACAGGGTCCTGACTAGACAGTTGAAGGAAAAGAAGGATATGTTATTTATCCAAGATAGTTAGTTTATTGATTGTGATGAGAAGCTTCGTTAGAAATATGCACTTCTCGAGAAATATGCTAAGGAAATGAAGAGAAAGAAGGAAGATTTGGTAGGCGTTACTTCCGTTCCAAATCAATGGAAGAAATTTATTGATCAGTTGATAGCCGAGAAGATAGAGATGGAAGACTTATATGAGAAGAATATTAGGAAGCTCAAGTTACAAGTAGCATTTGGTCCTTCATCCGATAATGATTCTGAATGATCTTAGTCCCTAGATTTTATTACTTATGCATTTTATAAAACTCTTTAAAAGGGATTTTATGTTCCAAAGTTGTAATTTTTTGCCTTTTATTAATGAAATGAGATTTGTTGTTACAAAGTTATTTACCATTGATGTTTGCGAAGTTATTAAAGTCTTAAAGTTCCTTGAAAAAAAACTATCGAAAATAAATAATCATTTGCATCGCATATCATGCATCATTCAACATTCAATTTCACGTGTTTTCTAGAGTCTTATTCTTGCTTCTTTTTCCACTCTGATAGATCGTCAAGCTATTACACCAGTATAATACTCGAGCCAATTGTCGAAAGAGAATGGAAGATCTAGAGCAAGAAAATCACGAGCTTCGCAATGAGGTTACTACTCTTCGTACTGGAATGGAAAAATTGACCGCTTTGGTGGAAAGCTTGATGGATGCTCAAAATCAGCCATCGACTTTGGCCACTGAAGCTCAAGCTCAAACTACTATGGTTTCCAAAATCGTCACTGCTCCCACCTCTTTGGCTCAAGTCAACCCTCTGCAACATCAAATTTCGAAAGGTTTTCCATGGGGTATGCTTTACAATTTCACGCCAGGAGGGTACCAGTCTATTGTGAAACCCATGATTCAACCTATTGTATATTTTCCTCAACCTGAGATGACTACTGTGCAACCTATGGTCCAGCCTATGACATCTTTCCCTCACCCTGTAATGAAAACTAAGGCTCATGTGGTTCAAACTATTCCATATACAAATGAACCCGTTTATTATGATGAACCTATTGAAAGTTTAGGCATCTTCAATAGGATGGAGGAGTTCCAAGACCAATTTCAAGAAATGCAGAGGGAAATCAGAGAACTTAAAGGGAAAGACTTGTTCAGGAAAAATGCTCACGACTTGTCTTTGGTTCCAAATGTGAAAATTCCACCTAAGTTCAAAGTGCCAGACTTTGAAAAATACAAATGTGACTCATGTCCGCAAAGTCACTTAACCATGTATGTGATAAAGATGTGCATTTACTATGATGATCATAAGCTATTAATTCACTACTTCCAGGACAGCTTAACTGGTGCCACCCTGAAATGGTACATGGGTTTGGATAGCACCTGAATTCGCAACTTCACTGACCTCAGTGAGGCTTTTGTTCATCAATACAATTATAATGTTGACATGGCCCCGGACTGAGAACAACTCCGAGCTATGTCCCAGAAGGATGGAGAATCTTTTAAAGAGTATTCCTAAAGGTGGCGTGAGATTACTGCTCAGATCTATCCTCCCCTCGAAGAAAAAAAATGACAAATATTTTTCTAAAGACATTAGGTTCCTTCTACTATGAGAGAATGATGGCAAGTGCGCCTAGTGACTTCACTGAGATGG